TGAAATGTCCCTCTGCCATGCAGTAAGTCCCCGACTGTCTCTGCCTGTTCCTCTACCTGCATCGCCTTTCCCAAGGCCTGTTCTAACTGCCCTCTCCTGCATCAGGCTTGCTGCCCGATGGAAAGCCCTGAATGACTGGGAAACTAGATCTGCTACCTCGGTCTACCCAACCACAGTGCTGGGCCAGAGTGGACATCAGTGATGGAGTGCAGAGGCAGTGACGACCCCCAGCTGCCGCTCCCACAAAGTCCTGACGCCAAGCTGGCACCCACCCATGGACTGGAAGCCTCCAGACTTCTTCTTCTTCTTGTTCTGGGCACGCACCATCTCTCGGGTGTCCGGCTCCACATCCGAGGTGCATTCCGAGGTGGGGAAGGTGGGCAGGGGTCTGCCAGGTCCCAGCTGGGAAGGAAGAACAGAGAGGTGGTATCACTGCAGGCACAGTGGGACCACAGGGGGCCGTGAGGGGGCTGTGCTGTTGGCCTCTCTCCCCCATTCAAGCCAATGGTGATTCCACCAGATCAGGTCACTTCTTTGCTAACAGGTTCTCCTTTGGCTGGGTAAGGACGGGACAGAAGTTCGGAGTGGGCTCTGCAGACAGACTGTCTCAGTTTCAATCCCAACTCTGTCACCTAACAGCTGTGAGACCTGAGGCAAGGGACTTAATCTCCCTGAGCCTGTGCTTCCACACCTGGAAAATGGGAATGACAAGCAGAGGCCCCCAGGGTGCTGTGACGGTCATATGGGTGAGTGTCAGGCTTAGGAAGGTGCCCAGCACACAGGTGGTGGTATTATGACTATCACCACCATCGAAGCCCTCAAAATTAAATACCTCGCCAGGTACAGTGGCTCAACCCTCTAATCCCAACACTTTGGGAGGCCGAGATGGGCGGATCACTGAGGTCAGGAATTTGAGACCAGCCTGGCCAACATGGTGAAACCTTGTCTCTACTAAAGTGCAAAAATTAGACAGCCATGGTGGTGCATGCCTGTAATCCCAGCTACTCAGGAGGCTGAGGTGTGAGGATCGCTTGAACCGGCGAGGTGTAGTTTACAGTGAGATAGTGCCACTGCATTCCAATCTGGGCAACAGAGCAAGACTCTGTCTCAAAAACAAAACAAAAAATTAAATAATAAAATAAAAATTAGCCAGGTATGGTGACACCCACCTGTAGTCCCAGATAATCAGGAGGCTGATGCAAGAGGATCACTTGAGCCCAGAAGATGGAGGCTGTTCTGAGCCATAAACTCGCCACTACACTGCAGCCTAGGCGACAGAGCCCTTGTCTCAAAAAAAAAAAAAGAAATACACACATATTTTTTTTTAGAGAGACAGGGTCTCACTCTGTCACCCAGGCTGGAGTACAGTGGTGCAGTCATAGCCCACTGCAGCTCTGAACCTTGAACTCCTAGGCTCAGGTGTCTCCCACCTTAGCCTTCCAAGTAGCTGGGACGACAGGCATGTACTACCACACCTGGCTAATTATTTTCTTTTATTTTTTTGTAGATATGAGGTCTTACTATGTTCCCCAGGCTAGTCTTAAATTCCTTGCCTCAAGCAATCCTCCCTTTTGGCCTCCCAAAGTGTCGGGATTACAGGCGTGAACCACCACACCTAGCCCATAAATATTTTAAATGCATACCATGTGTGAGGTGCTAGACTTTTCGAAGCTATCCCGCCCCCTACCGGCCACCAACCAATCTCCTTCCTGATCTCTAGTCTGTCTCACGCCTGGCCTCCTTTCTGCTTACCCAGGACCCACTTGTCCTGGCATGGCTAAATCCAATCCAGACACCTCTTCTGGGGCACCTTCTTGGGTTACAGGGCTGTCTCCTTTCTCTCAAAAATAGCACTTATGGCCGGCTCATGCCTGTAATCCCAGCATGGGGAGGCTGAGGTGGGTGGATCATCTGAGCCCAGGAGTTCGGAGACGAGCCTAGGCAAAATGGTGAAACCCCATCTTTACAAAAAAAAAAAAAAAGGCAAGCATTTATGGAGCAGCAGTTCATAAGAATGGCTGAAACTTATAAGGTAGCTACTATAAGCCAGGTGCTGCTCTAAGAATTTATACAAATTAACCCACTTAATCCTCACAACAACCTGAAGTGAGTACTTTTGTTCTGTCCATTTTACAGAGAAGGAAACTGAGGCACAGAGATAAAGGGACGTGCCCAATGTCACACAGCCAGGAGGTAGTGGGTGAGGGATGCAAACCCTGGCTTCGGAGACTATGTTCTTTTCACGGTGACCCTCTAAGATCAACTACAATCCTCTAGGGCAGAGCCATGGCCTGTCTTGAACAGTCCGTGAGTTTAGAATGGTTCTTACATTTTAAAGGGTTGTAGGAAAGGGAAAAAAAATGAAACAAAAAAGACAATCATCTTATATGGCCAGACAAAACCTTAAAAAAAAGATTTATCATCTGGCCCTTGATAGGTCTGCCAACCCCTGCTCTAGGCACATGAAAAGAAGGTGCCTGGGACACCCCTGCAGTAGCTACTGAATGTGTGAAGAGCATGTCCTTTAGTCTTTTTCTTTTTTTTCTGAGACGGTCTCACTCAGTCACCCAGGCTGGAGTGCAGTGGCAGGATCTTGGCTCACTGCAGCTTCTACCTCCCAGGTTCATGTGATTCTCCTGCCTCAGCCTCCCAACTATCTGTGACTATAGGCACGTGCCACCAGGCCCGGCTAATTTTTGTATTTTTAGTAGAGATGGGGTTTTACCACATTGACCAGGCTGGTCTCGAACTCCTGATCTCAAGTGATCTGCCCACCCTAGCCTCCCAAGGTGCTGGGATTACAGGTGTGAGCCACCACGCCCAGCCTCCTTTACTTTTTAATTTTAGAGACATGGTTTTACTCCGTAGCTCAAGCTGGAGTGCAGTCCTGCCATCATGGCTCACCTATCTCAGGTGATCCTCCCACCTCAGCCTCCCAAGTAGCTGGGACTATAGGTACACACCACCATGCCCAGCTAGTTTTTGTAATTTTTGCAGATGCATTGTCTCACCATGTTGCTCAGGCTAGTCTCGAACTCCTGGCATCAAGTGATCCTCACTCCTTGGACTCCCAAAGTGCTGGGATTACAGGCATGAGCCATGGTACCTGGCCAACAATCTTTGAAACATATATAATCATTTACTGGCCTTCTACAGATGTGGAAACAGGCACAGAGAGGCTAAGCAACCTCTCCATTGTCCCACAGCCAGTGCAAGGTTGGGCCAAATTTGAACACAGGACAAAGCCCTTGGTCTAAACCATACACAGACTCCTTTTCTTTGGTACTCACCATCTCTGCCCACCTGAGCTGTTTATTATCTTAGTAGTTTCTCTACATTTGTTGAGAATGTAGAGAAACATTCCTCTCCAGGGGCTGAGACCACAGGCAGGCCCATTTTCTTTTCTTTCTTTCTTTTTTTTTTTTTTTCTTTGAGACGGAGTCTTGCTCTGTCGCCCAGGCTGGAGTGCAGTGGCGCTATCTCAGCTCACTGCAACCTCCACTTCCCAGCTTCAAGTGATGCTCTTGCCTCAGCCTCCCAAGCAGCTGGGATTACAGGCACCTGCCAGCACACCAGCTAATTTTTGTATTTTCGGTAGAGATGGGGTTTCACCATGTTGGCCAGGCTGGTCTCAAACTCCCGACCTCAGGTGATCCACCCACCTCGTTCGTCCTCCGAAAGTGCTGGGATTACAGGCATGAGCCACCGTGCCCAGCCTAATTTTTAAATTTTTTGTAGAGACAGGGTCTTCCTATGTTGCCCAGGCTGATCTTGAACTCCTGACCTCAAGCCATCCTCTCACCTGAGCCTACCAAAGTGCTGAGTTCACAAGCGTGAAGCCACTATACCAGGCCTTGGTCAAATTTCTTAACCCTCTAGGCCTCAGTTTCCTCCTTCAGAAAAAATGAAGATGATAGTTGCTGGTGGTGGTACTACAGCATTGGTGTGAGGATTAAATAATAAGGCTCGTACAGCTCTTAGCATGGAGCCTGGCTTATAGTAAATAATAAACACAAGCAGGCTCACGCCTGTTAATCCCAACACTTTAGGAGGCACAAGTGGGAAGACTGCTTGAAACCAGGAGATCGAGACTAGACTGGGAATATAGGGAGACTCCCCCTACCCCCGCCCGTCTCTACAAAAAATTTAAAAATTAGCCGGGCATGGTGGAGCGTGCCTGTGGTCCCAACTACTGGAGAGGCTGACATGGGAGGATCGCTTAAACCTAGGAGGCAGAGGCTGCAGCGAGCCGTGGCTACACAACTGCACTCCGGCATGAGCAACACAGCAAGACTCTTCCTCAAAAACAAATTTTTTAAATTAGTTTCCCAGAGGTTTGGGGAGTCACTGTCGCAAGCCACGCGGTCCGGTCTCCCCTTAATTCAACCTCCCAAGAATGCTCCAAACTCTCAAAATCAGATCTTTTGCACCCGCACTTTTCATTGGGCGAAAGGAAACCAGGATCCGCCCCTGAGCAGGAGACAGCCAATGAGGGACGGGCGACCGAAAGCCCGCAGGAAGGCCCGCAGACTCAGGCCGCGGGACCCAGAGCTTAACAAGCCCCGAGGCACGTCTTCAGGCCGGCGGTCCCAAGACCCGTCCTTGGGCCCGCAGGCTCTCTCTCTACCGTCTGCGGAGCCCACTCCCCAGCTGGGGAAACTGAGGCTTCGGGGCGCTTCCCGGAGCCGGTTCTCGGGCCCCAACGTGCGTCCCAGCCCCACGCGCCTACCTTCCGGGCCCGGATGTCATCTTCCGCTTGAATCTCAAATTCGCCGTCCTGCGAGTCGCTGCCGCGGGCCTTGGAGGCCGTGCCGCGGCGCTTCCGGAGCCCTTTCTTCTTCCTCCACTGGGCCATGGCAGCTGACGACCGAAGTCCGGCCGCGGGGCGCTTGCCCGCCGCCATTCGGGCCGCGCGCTGGGAACGCGGAAGGGGGCGGGGCCTGCGGCGCGCACCAACTGAGAGGGTGGGGAAGGAGCGGTGGCCACATCACCCCGGCTGCGCTTTCGCTAGTGCCTGCGGCCCTGGGCAGCCTAGTACACACGCCCATGAGTGAGTGGCACCAGAGGTCCCTCTCCGTGTTTAGGAACTTCCTGGGCGTCAGGAACATGGCGCCCATCCCTGGGCGGACTCCCCCCCATCCCCGGGCGCGAATGGTCCGGGCCGCGTCCGCCGTGCTGCTGCCTGCTCCCTGGTTGCTGGGTTCTGGGTTTCTGGATGCGCGCGCCGCTCACACGTCGCCTGGGCCGGCTTCACGGGTGCGTCTGTCCGCGCGTGGTGCACCGGTATGGCCTGGGCTGCCGGGAGTCCGGGGCCCCGGGCATTCCTGGCCGAAGATTGACGGGGATCCCGGATGCACCGAACGCCTCTGTGCCCTCGCCGAGGGGTCCAGACCTGGTGGGAAGAAGGCGCAGGGAGAGGTACCTGAGGACCCCGATGCGTACGAGCCAAGATGCTCAGGTAGGAGAACAGCTCAAAAATGCAGGGACCTCGGGCATTTTTTAACCGGGTCACTGATTTGGGAGTCGCAGAATATGGGGCGGTCGGGGCGGCGGTGATATCCCAATAGCAGTGTAGTGAAGTACACAAGCTCTGGACTCAGATTTCACTTCCACCGTTTTAGCTTTATAGGTGTGACCTACTCATGTGACTTCACCTCAGTTTTGTGATCCGTAAAATGGACAAAATCGAAGCTACTTCCCAGTGCTGTTGAGAGGATTAAATGAAACAATGCTTGTAAAGCTCTTTGCAGGAGGTAGGCATGGGATCCACGCTGGCTGTTATTGCCCCCACCCCCATAGTACACACAGAATATAGTAAAGTGCCTGTCTCGTCCACCACCATAGTGTGTTTTCTGGTTGGTGCCTAAATGGGCACAGGTGTCACCTCTCCTTCACCCCCAGAGTCAGTCTATAAATAATTGCCAATAGCACCCCTTTCTCCATCATTATGACAACTAAAAAAAGTCAAAGGGCCAGGTGCGGTGTCTCACGCCTGTGATCCCAACACTTTGGGAAGCCAAGGTGGGTGGATCATGAGGTCTGGAGTTCAAGACCAGCCTGGGCAAGATGGTAAAACCCCGTCTCTACTAAAAATACAAAAAAAAAAAAAAAAAACAATAGCAGGACGTGGTGGTGGGCGCCTGTAATCCCAGCTGCTCGGGAGGCTGAAGCAGAGAATTGTTTGAACCGGGAGGTGGAGGTTGCAGTTGCAATGAGCCGAGATCGCACCACTGCACTCCAGCCTGGGTCTGGGTTGACAGAGCGAGACTCCATCTCAAAACAAATTAAAAAAAAAAAAAAAAAAGCCAAAGAAATTTCCTAAATGCCCCCTGAAGTTGACAACTCCCCTTGAGAGACTGGTTGAGAGGGAACTAAGCCCTTGGGATGAGAACTCCAGAGACCACCAATCTTCTGCCATTAGCACTGCTGTGGCTCAGCGGTGCTACTCCAATCTCCTCTCACAGGGAGCCTCGGAAGCAGGACCTGGCCGGCAGAGCAGACCCACTGTCACCAGGGACTACAGGCAGCATGAAGACCCCCGTGGAGCTGGCTGTCAGTGGGATGCAGACCCTCCACCTTCAGCACCGCTGCCGGACTGGCTACCGGGTCAAGGCCAGGCCATCATATGTGGATGAGAGTCTGTTTGGCAGCCCAGCAGGCACCCGGCCCACCCCACAAGACTTTGATCCTCCCTGGGTGGAGAAGGCTAACAGAACCAGAGGTGTGGGCAAGGAGGCATCGAAGGCCTTGGGGGCAAAGGGGAGCTGTGAGACCACCCCCTCAAGGGACAGCACCCTGACCCTCACACCAAGGAAGAAGAACAGATACAGGTAACTGGGTGGGGAGACACAAATCCTGTACTCAGTGCAGCCACCTGGGTTCCAGTTATAGCCCTGGTGCTCTGTGATCTTGGGCAAGCATCTTGACCTCTCTGAGCCACAGTTTACTCATGTGGAAAATAGGACCAATGATTCCTACCTAGGGGGATTGTTGATGGATTAAATGAGAGAGGGGTCTGCAGTGCTTTGCACAGTAACCTAACAGAAAGCTGTCAATAAATGGTAGTGTTGGTGGTTGTGATGGTGGACTCCCTATCCCCAAGTGTCACAGCTGGGCATCTGAGGCCCAGAGGAGTCAGCTGATGCTTAAGATCACAGAGAAATTTGCATAAGGTTATTCATATTAATGTGATCGATCCTTGAAATGGCATAGATGTGGTGTTTCTGAAGTCATTTTGAAAATGGGTCTTGCCAGGTGGGGTAGTTCATGCTTGTAATCCCAGCACTTTTGGAGGTCGAGGTAGGATCACTTGAGCTCAGGAGTTTGAGACCAGCCTGGGCAATGTGGTAAAACCATGTCTCTATTAAAAAATACAAAAATTAGCCGAGCATGGTGGTATGCACCTGTATTTGCAGCTACCAGGAAGGCTGAGGTGGGAGGATCCCTTGAGCCCAGTAAGTGGAGGTTGCAGTGAGCCAAGATCACGTCACTGCACTCCGGCCTGAATGACAGCGAGACCCTGCCTCAAAACAAAACAAAAAAAAAAAAAATTGAAAAATGGGTCTTGCTGCATTTTCATGAACAAATTAGAAAAACAGGAACTAATGCAAATTGTTGTTGTTAATTAATTAGATTAGAATTAGATTATTTGGGCTGTTTCAGGTGAATATCAGCCTGGAGGGAGGTGTCTAGTGGTGAGCCACAGGGCTTCGTCCTGTTTATTGTTACCAGTGGTTTAGACAAAGATACAGAAGATTAGCACGGTAGTTGGCTAGGGCCACCGTGACAGTACCACAGACTGGGTGGCTTAAACAACACAGATTTGTTTTGTCACAGCCTGGAGGCTACAAGCCCAAATCAAGGTGTTGGCAGGTTTGGTTTCTCCTGAGACCTCTCTCCTTGACTTGCAGTTGCCACGTTCTCACTGTGGCATCGTAGGGCTTTCTCTCATATTTTTTTTAATCCTTCAAGTACATGCAAGGGCCTTTTCTGTATGCACACATGTAGCCCTGGTGTCTCTTCCTCTCATAAGCACAACAGTCCTATTGGATTAGGGACCCGCCACCCTTGTAGCGTTATTTAGCCTTGGTTGCCTTTTTCTTTTTTTTTTTTTTCTTTTTTCTTTTTTTTTTTTTTTGAGATGGAGTTTTGCTCTTGTTACCCAGGCTGGAGTGCAATGGTGCGATCTTGGCTCACCGCAACCTCCGCCTCCTGGGTTCAGGCAATTCTCCTGCCTCAGCCTCCTGAGTAGCTGGGATTACAGGCACGAGCCACCATGCCCAGCTAATGTTTTTTGTATTTTTAGTAGAGACAGGGTTTCACCATGTTGACCAGGATGGTCTCGATCTCTTGACCTCGTGATCCACCCACCTCGGCCTCCCAAAGTGCTGGGATTACAGGCGTGAGCCACCGCACCCAGCTCTTTTTTCTTTTTGAGACGGAGTCTTGCTCTGTCACCAGGCTGGAGTGCAGTGGCGCTATCTTGGATCACTGCAGCCTCTACCTCCCGGTTCAAGCAATTCTCCTTCCTCGGCCTCCCAAGTAGCTGTGATTACAGGCACATACCACCACCCCTGGCTAATTTGTATTTTTAGTAGAGATGCGGTTGTTGGCCAGGCTGGTCTCGAACTCCTGAGCTCAATTGATTCGCCTGCATCTGTTTCCCAAAGTGCTGGGATTACAGGCAAGTGCCACCACGTCCAGCCAGCCTTAATTGCTTTTAATTCATCTAAATAATTAAGGCCAAGTGTAGACACAAAGGGTTAGGGCTTCAACATATGAATTTGGGTGGGCATAATTCAGTCCATAAGAACTGGCCAACTAAATTTAGGGTTCATTCTGACCCACGGGGACATATTTCAGGTGAGAGAAATGAAATGAGAATGGGAATGATGTCTATTATAAAAACAAGAATCAGTTATTACCAGTTCTGTAGACAAGGCAGGGTCAGATGGAGATTAGCAACACTGATACCTGCAGCATGGCTGAAAACACTGAGGTAAAGGTAGGCTGCATTAACAGAAATATGGTGTCCATGAGAAGGGAGGTGACAACCCCCTGCTCACCTGGAGGATGGAATTTTCTTCTGGATTCGAACAAGTAGAGGGTGTCAAGTGAGGGGGTGCATAAGAGGTAGAGAAGTTATTGAGCACAAAAACCTTGGCACCAGACATATGCAGGCATTGGCTGATGTGGTTTGAGCAGCTAAACTAAGTGGCAAAAGATTGCCTTTTCAAAGACTTGCAGTTTGGGGCTAAAAGCACTTTCAGTCCTGGCCAAAAACTGTGGGCGTGGAATCTTGCAGATATGCCATGAATATCTGTTGAATAAATAAAAAAAAAAAAAATAGGCCAGGCAGGCTGACTCAGACCTGTAGTCCCAGCACTTTGGGAGGCTGAGGTGGGAGGATCACTTGATCCCAGGAGTTTGAGGCCAGCCTGGGCAACCTAGTGAGATCCCTGTCTCTACAAAAAATAAAAATATTAGCAGGGCATGGTGGCACATACCTGTAGTCCAAGCTACTCTGGAGGCTGAAGTGGGAAGATTGAGCTCAGGAGTTTGTGTCTGCAATGAGCTATGATTGCATCACTGCTCACTCCAGCCTAGGTGACAGAGTGAGACCCTGTCTCTTTGGAAAAAAAAAAAAAAAAAAGCCTGGCACAGTGGCTCACGCCTGTAATCCCAGCACTTTGGTAGGCTGAGGTGAGTGGATCACGAGGTCAGGAGTTCAAGAGCAGCCTGACCAACATAGTGAAACCCCGTCTCTACTAAAAATACACAAAAATTAGCCAGGCATGGTGGCACGTGCCTGTAGTCCCAGCTACTTGGGGGGATGAGGCAGGAGAATCACTTGAATCCAGGAGGCAGAGGTTGTGGTGAGCCGAGATCGCGCCACTGCACTCCAAGCCTGAGCAACAGAGCAAATCTCCATCTCCAAAAAGAAAAAAAGAGAAAGGTGGGGCCGGGCGCGGTGGCTCACGCCTGTAATCCCAGCACTTTGGGAGGCCGAGGCGGGTGGATCACGAGATCAAGAGATCGAGACCATCCTGGTCAACATGGTGAAACCCCGTCTCTACTAAAAAATACAAAAAATTAGCTGGACATGGTGGCTCGTGCCTGTAATCCAGGCTACTCAGGAGGCTGAGGCAGGAGAATTGCCTGAACCCAGGAGGCGGAGGTTGCGGTGAGCCGAGATCGCGCCATTGCACTCCAGCCTGGGAAACAAGCGAAACTCCGCCGCAAAAAAAAAAAAGAGAAAGGTGGGCATGGTGGCTCACATCTATAATCCCAGCACACCAGCCTGACCAACATGGTGAAACCCCATTTCTATTAAAAGTACAAAAAAATTAGCCAGTCATCGTACTGCATGCCTGTAATCCTAGCTACTCGAGGAGCTGAGGCAGAAGAATCACTTGAACCTGGGAGGCAGAGGTTGCTGTGAGCCAAGAGTGTGCCATTGCACTCCATCCTGGGCAACAGAGTGAGACTCCGTCTCAAAAAAAAAAAAAGAAAAAGAAAGAAAGAAGGAAGGGAAAGGAAAGGAAAGGGAAAGGGAAAGGAAAGGAAATGGGCATAGTGACTCATGTCTATAATCCTAACACTTCGGGAGGTTAAGGTGGGGGTTGTTTGGGCCGAGGAGTTCCAGACCAGCCTGGGCAACATAGTGAGGCCTGATCGCTACTGAAAATCAAAAACAAAAAAATTAGCTGGGCTTGGTGGCACTGTGCCTGTAGTCTCAGCTACTAGGGAGGCTGAGGTGAAGGGATTGCCTGGGACTGGGAATTTGAGGCTGCCATGATCTGTGATTGCACCACTGCACCCCACTTGAACAGAGCGAGACTGTGTCTTGCCAAAAAAAGAAAAGGTGGAGGCTATACAGACTAAGGTTATACTAATTGAGTCTTGATTACAAGTGACGGAAAACTTACTCAAACTGGCTTCCCCAGGAAGAGTCATTTGGGGCTCCTGTAATGGGCTCAAACTGTGGCTGAAACTGTCCGTCTCCACTTTAGTGCCACTTTGGGCTGACATCCTGTCAGCCTAGCAAGAAGTAAGATCAGGTTGCAGAAAAACGTCTCTTTCCAAGTAGTTTCCACAACGGTCCTAAGGCAGATTCTGATTGGACAGGCTTGGGTCATCTGGCCATTCCTGAACCAATCCATGTGGCCTGAGGGATGGAATATGCAAATTGGCCGGGCCTGGGACACATGCCTGGGAATGGGGTCAGGATGCAGGGGCAGTGGATGTTTCGTTGGGGAGAATCAGCCGAGACGGGGGCAGTGGTGCATGAGAGAGCTGTGGCCTCACTGTAGGTTTCAGCCTGGGAGACAGGGACTCCTGGGATCTACAGGCAACCCTTCTCTGCTGCTGCCAGAGTCTGGGGATGGGTGGGAGAGCTGTTAAGGTTTTGAGGGTTGTTCATCCCATCCTCCATCTCACGACATTTATCTTCCCCTTTGCCAGACTGATCAGCCACACCCCATCTTACTGTGATGAGTCGCTATTTGGCTCCAGATCTGAGGGCGCCAGCTTCAAGGCCCCACGGATGGCGAAGGGGGATGCCGCAAAACTACGTGCTCTCTTCTGGACACCACCAGCTACCCCTAGGGGCAGCCACTCACCTCGCCCCAGGGAGGCCCCACTGCGAGCCGTTCACCCAGCTGGTCCCTCCAAGACAGAGCCCTGGGTGGCGGCAGACTCCCAGAAATTATCCATGGATGGGTTACGCTCGTCACACCCCCTGAGGCGGGGACTTTCCCGTTCCCTCACCCACCTGAATCTCCCCAGCACTGGTCATCCAGCCACCAGTGCCCCCCCACACAAATAGGCCTCAGGATCCCAGGCCTTCCACATCAGGGGTGACCTTCCGGAGCCCCCTAGTGACTTCCAGGGCTCGCTCAGTCAGCATTTCAGTGCCAGCTACCCCACGGCAAGGTGGGGCCACCCAGAAACCAAAGCCCCCTTGGAAATGATACTCTTTCATCAGGGTTGCCTATGGGGCCACGGCGAGAGGTGTGACCCCTTGTCAGGGTCCTCTGGGAGGACATTCATCACCCAGGGAACCCTAGGTATTGAAGAAGCCCCAGTAGGGGCAGACAGACAGCAGGGGCGGGCAGAGTGCCTCCCTTTATCCTGACAATCTCTACTCGCTTCTTGCCTTTTTCTCCCCTGATTGCAGATTTGGGGGCTGCCTTGAAGATGTCTCACTCCAGCCCTGTCTCAACCACACTCCAAATTAGTGCCAACCCAGGGGCCCAGCACCTCCCACATCATCCATTGTCTTGCTGCCAAGTGCAAATAAACAGTGCGATTGCCAACCTGGAGGTCCCCTCCCCTCCCTTCAAGCCACGCTTCGTGCTCAGGATTAGTTTCCAACTGAGTCTGAAAGCCTTAGAGGAGTTTTCCCAGGCTGTGTGTGAAGCCTGGGGAACACAAGGGCAACTGGGAGATTTGTGAGTGAACACTTTCATCTTAATATCGTTCTGTATTTATTTTCATGTACTAAATATATCAGCTCATCAAAGGCATGAGTGTTCCTTTTTTTTTTCCCCTTAGGGTAAAGGACATTGTTAGGCCTGAGTCGATTTAAATAACAAAGTTAGACACAATATGAAGTACCAGGATGTGGCAGACAGCAGGACAGTGGTGAGCGAGTGACTGAAGTTTGGGAACCGGAGGCCTCAGGAAACGCTGGACTCTTCCTCCCATTGGTTTCTGGCTAATGCCGCTAACCACTGGTTGGCTGGCTCTTCCTGAGCTCAGAACACAGACAAAAGTATTTTTTTAGTTTTATTTTTAAGGGGTATATGTATGAGAGAAGGTGGGAAATAAAACACAATGGCTAGGACTTCGCCAAGTGGAAGGTCCAAGAAGGCCAGACAGTGACACATGCATCTCCAGAGCACTTAGGATGGAGCCCAGGACTTAGGAAAAGCAGCAAAGCCTTTGCTCAGATGGAATTGCACCCAGATTTGGCAGTAGGGGCTGGGCTTCAGGCCTCTCCTTGCCTCCATCTTCCTGTAAGGCACCTGGAGGAAGCACCAGGATTCTAGGGAGTCCAGTTGGAAGCCACATCATCGGTTTGGTACCCCTGCCTTGGGGCAGAGAAGAGTGGATGCTGCTGGGGAGGGAGACCCGAAGTGCCCAGGATCAGGGACACATGGAAACACCTGTGGGGTCAGGCAGGCCAGCTGCACTCTCATGCAGACATGCTTTGCTTTTTGGTTTCTGTTTGAGTTTTTTTAAGAGACCAGGCCTCACTTTGTTGCCCAGGCTGCAGTGCAGAGGCTCCATCATAGCTCACTGCTGACAACCTCCTGGCTCAAGCCATCCTCCCCCTCACCCTCCTGAGTGGCTGAGACTACAGGCACGTACCACCATGCCTGGCTAATTTTTAAAAAAAAAAATTTTTTGTAGAGAGGGATTTCATTCTTTCCAGTAAGAAACAAGAAAAAAAGGGAAAAAAGAGACATGAGTCTCACTATGTTGCCCAAGCTGGTCTCAAACTCCTGGCCTGAAGTGATCCTCCCACTTCAGCCTCCGAAAATGCTGAGATTACAGGCGTGAGCCACCTCATCCAGCTGCAATGTGCGTTTTAAACATATAGAATGTCTAAGTTTCCTGGAATTTTCACAAACAATTATCCACACCCACCCTGGTTTTTCCTGAAACATCCATCTTCCTTTCGCCTTCCCATCTTCCCCTTTGTTTTCATAGACATGGGCCAGAAATACCTCTCTTTCCTGGCCGGGCGTGGTGGCTCACGCCTGTAATCCCACCACTTTGGGAGGCCAAGGTGGGTGGATCACTTGAGGTCAGGAGTTTGAGACTAGCCTGGCAAACATGGCAAAACCCTGTTTCTACTAAAAACACAAAAAGTATCCAGGCGTTGTGTTGCACACCTGTAATCCCAGCTACTTGGGAGGCTGAGGCAAGAGAATTGCTTGAACCTGGGAGGTGGAGGTTGCGGTGAGC